ATACTACCTGACTTTTTTTGGCATTTGCAAATGGAAATGGAATAACTTTTAAAAGAAATATTTTTCACTACCTGCATATTTGGAAACATTTCCATTTGAAGAAATCACAAAACTTGAAAAAATCTATCAGCACATTAAAAATAAAAGGCTGGGTCCTGGCTCACACCTGAACAAAGTTTTTAGAAAGGTCCATCTAGGTTCCCATTTTGAGACACTTCAGTTCTGATCTGATAAAGGTCCCTTCCGACCCTATCAACTGTGAAACTATAAGAGGTTTTGAGTATCTATGAATTAACTGAATTTAATTATCCTGGGGATGTATCAGCAGCTCTGAAAAAAATCAGGCTGTATGCATTTGAAGACAGGTGTCTGGAGCAACCAAAGTTGGCAGGCACTCGAAATTACTAGCCTTGCACTGACTATTAGTTTCTGAATCTCAAGCAGTGTGCATCTTAAATTCTTTGCATCTTCAGGTTTCATTTGCAGGAAAAAAAAACAGTACCAGATGGTAAACTGAAGCTCAATGCTGATAAAGTATCTTCTGAATGCACTGTAGCCTACATTTATTAGAAAGAATTGGCACTCCAATCTCCTGACTGCCAGTTCTGATTTGCAATTTTTGTAGGGCCATGAGTAAGCAAATCTCTTACTTGTTCCACTTTTGCCCTATATGTAAAATATAGGGGAGATGGGGTATTATTGGAGCCTTCATTAGGGTTATGTAAAACCTAGCCAACTATCTCAATCCTTCCGGTCAAGGGGAAGGGTCCAGGCAGGAGCAGACGCATCCTGCAAAACAATGAATGGCAGCACAGATAGTGTTGCCAGCAGGGATTTGGCTTCTTGGAACAACATCCCATGGTCAAAGAAGGACTGCTAGGAAGAGATGGGATCCACCTGATGGAGACAGGAAAGAGCTTCTTTGCAAACAGGTATGCTAACCTAGTGCAGAGGGCTTTAAACCAAGTTCTCCAGGGGTTGGAGACCAAAGTCCTGATGTAAATGGGGAAGTGGATGACCTGGAGGAATCACAAGCAGGAGAGGGCAACAGGGCTCCCTCATTCTTCCTGAGAAAGTAGGGCAATCAGCTAGTTACCTTGGGTGTGTGTACATGAATGCACACAGCCTGAGAAACAAGCAGAAAGAATTGGAAGTCCTCGCAGTCACAGAACTATGATGTGACTGTAATAATACACACTTGGTGGGACAGCTTGCATGACTAGAGCACTGTAAAGTGGATAGAAAACTGGCTGGATCACTGGGTTCAAAGGGTAGTAATCAATGGCTAGACGTCTAGTTGACAGTTGGTATCAAGTGGAGTGCCCCAGGGGTTATTCTTGGGGCCACTTTTGTTCAATATCTTCATCAGCAACCTGGAGAATGGGAAGCAGTGGACCCTCAGCAAGTCTGCAGATGACAGCAAGCTGGGAGTAGTGGACAAGAGACCTGGACAAATTGGAGGATTGGACTAAAAGAAATTTCATGAGGTCCAATAAGGGCAAGTGCAAAGTCCTGCACTTAGGACAGAACAATCCTATGCACCAGTACAGGCTGGGGACCAACTAGCTAAGCAGCAGCTCTGCAAAAAAGGACCTGGTGTTACAGTGGACAATAAGCTAAATATAAGCCAAGGGTGTGCCCTTGTTGCAACCCCCCCCGCCAAAAAAAACTAACGGCCTACTGGGCTGCATCAGTAGCAGCATTGCCAGCAAATTGAGGGAAGTGATTTTTCTCCTCTATTTGGCACTTGTGAGGCTGCATCCAGACTACTGTGTTCAGTTTTAGGCCCCCCACTACAGAAAGGATGTGGACAAAATGGAGAGTCCAGCAGAGGGCAACAAACTTCATGGTTAAGGGTCTGGGGCACATGACTTGAGAGAAGTTGAGGGCACTGGGCTATTTAGCTTGGAGAGGAGAAAACTGAGGGAGGATTTAATAGCAACCTTCAACTAACTGAAGGGTGCTTCCAAAGAGGATGGAGCTAGACTGTTCTTACTGGTGGCAGATGACAGAACAAGGAGCAACAGTCTCAGGTTGCAGCAAGAGAAGTTCAAGATGGATAGCCGCACTAAGACTGGTGAAGCACTGCAACAGGTTACCCAGAGAAGTTATGGAATCTCCAACCTTAGAGGTTTTTAAGACATGGTTAGCCAAAGCCTTGATCGGGATAATTTAATTGGGGATGGTCCTGCTTTGAGGAGGGGGTTGGGACTAGATGACCTCCTGAGGCTTCTTCCAACCCTCATTTTCTATCATCTACGATCTGCAACAAAGGAGTAGCATTAAGGCTGATGACTGACAGATATAGGACTAGGGTTGGTACAGACATTCAAGAAGCACAAGACACAATCAATTTAAGTCACAATTTTCTCTAAGTGGTATAGTTTAGATCAGTAGTGAACAGAACACACATTTGTCTTTTGGGGGTGGGGGGGAGGGAGCAAATCTTAAGACTGGGTTCTGCCATTTTTAAGCCAGTCTATATATGCCAAAAGTCTGTTCTGTTACAGGTACAGACCAGTTTCCAATCACTTATACTGGTAAAAGTGTAATGTCTTTTCCTGGTCTAGGATGTAGGAGTTCTTGGCACACAGCCCAGTGCTTCATCCACTATATTATCTAGCCTGTGGAGCAGCTACCAAAATGTTTATGTGCTAGCTTGCACACTAAAGTGGCTTTTTTGTTTTTTAGCATGCTTTACACCAAATAAAACTACTGGTCACTTTAAGTTCCTCAGACTGTTTTAAGGAAAAGTGAAATTAAGTAAAATTGAACAGACATTTACCACAGTTTCAGTTATTAATGAACATTCCTTCCTTCATCTCCTTCCCTTAAGTAAAACTAATTGCTGACACCCCAGAATATGCTAATATGACCTTACCACCATGGCTCTCTTTTGTTGGAATAACTTCTCTGTAGTAGTCACAGAATATTTGCAAATTCCAATTCAGTAGAAAAATAAAAGCTAAATAAAAACAAACCCTACATGACAAGTTTAGGTAAATTTCTGAGCACTTATATACATTTATGCTAGCTGTAATATACTGTGATAGTATTTGCTGAGAACAGCACTGTTCACTTGCAGAGTCCGGAGTGTGTTGGGGACGATGTTCAGGTGCATATGGGAGAAAAAACTAACTGGAAGATGCTCTTCTCCCTATTGTACGAAGCAAAGTGGAGAGTTGCTTGAGCTTCTAAGGATGAAAGGAAAGTTAGATGTTGTAATTCCATAATCACAGTCATCTATGATCCTAAGGAAAAGAAGAAAGGGAAAAACAGCAAAATAATGGACTTAAAAGCAGAATGTAATAAACCAGGATAATTGGTAGGCAGGATTCCCATGAGAATAGTTGATTATTCCTGATAGAGATGATACTAACTGTCCAGGAGCATGCTATCCAGATGTAAAAGGAAGGATAGAAGATGTAGAAGGAGGATAGTCTGGCTAAATGGAGAAGTCATTTATTACTTGGAGCTCAAGGAATCCTACAGAAAGTGGAAACCTGGCCATATTACTGAGGGCAAGCATAAGAGTATAGTATGGGAATACAGGAACAAAACCAAAAAGACCAAGGCACGAACAGATATATAGTTAGCATGGTGCAATAAAGAGCCAATAGAGAGGCAAAAGTGTAATAAAAATAAAGTGGAAGACCAAGGAAAGTAGCTCCCATACTGGATAGGAGAAGCAAAGCTAAGACGACAACTGAAAAAAGTGGAGAAAACTAACGTGTTTAGTAGCTTATTTACTTCTGTCTTCACAAATCAATCAATCAACCAACTACCAGATGATGGGCACAGTTAGCATGAAGGGGCAGGGGGAAGATGCTCACATTAAAATAGGCAAAGAAGGTAGAGTAAGTGCTTAGAAAAACACTGAATGTTTTCAAAATCAACAGATAAGACTTCTCCTGGAGTCAAGGAATTGTCTGAAGTAACTGCAGGACCACAGGGTCTTTTCCATCTTTGTCAGCTCTTAGGGATCTGGTGAGAACCCAGAAGATTGGAGAAAGCCAAATAGAGTACACCTCCCTAAAATAGGGGGGGAAAAGGTCAATCTAGGGATTTACAGACCTATCAATCTAACTTGGATGCCTACAAAAATACTGGACCATACCTATTTGTAAGCCCCTGAAAGATAACAAGATGGTAAAGAACAGCTGACAGATTTGTCAAGAGAGTTTAGCTTAACCAACCTGATTTCACCCTATGACAATGAGACTGGCATCGTGGACAAGGTCAGCAACAGTGATTTGTTATCCTCTATTGTTTACTCTGTTAACTCAAGTGGTAGAGGTATGGGAAGTGGACCTGAAGATTCTTACTGTGCTGATGAGCTATATCGTGTGTCAGTGTGATGCCACACTACAGAATAAGTGCCCTACTCCATCCCTCTTAAAAAGAAAGAGAGAAAGAAAAAAAGTAGGATGTGATCATATGAAAAGACTGTCAATATATATAAGCATTCAGGCTGTGCTGGAAATCTTCATTCTGGCATTTCCTAATTTCCTATGTTGATTTTGCAACCTCTATAACAGTATTTTAACATGTGTTTTCCAAACATAAAAACAATCTACAGTGGTAATTGTCAACATGATTTCCAAGTTGACAATGCCCCTTTAAGACTGACCAGTTCCCTACAGGATTTTTCAAGTTACTTGCCATTTTGCAGACTGGCATCCTAGCTCATAGTTCTACTGTAGTTTACATAAGTTTAACTATAAGGTAAATTGCAAAACTGTAGGGGCAAATCCTATCTCCACTAACTCCAATGGAACAGGATTTCACCTTATTCTCTTCAATTCCATGATATATAAAAAAAAAAAGGGGGACACACAACTGAAAAAAATCACTTAAACCACAACTGTAGTCACTGACAAGTTTTCCATAAGATACCTCTATCCTATAGCCACACTGTTATATTTACTCTAGTTATCAGGCACTTCATTCAGTTGTCAAAATGCCATTACAAAAATCCCTTTGTGTCAAGGTAATCTCACCTGCACTTCTGAATCAGCATCAACATGTTGTAGTTGAAACCAGGTGTCTCTATTATGGTACTTCTGCAGATCTTCCTTCTGTATAGCTACTTTTCCTGGAAATAAAACATATTTGAAGCAAGTTTAAGTGAAGCTATAGTTCCACCAAGATACAGCATAGAAAGATTTTGTTTAAAAACAGTTCATCAAACCAGTGATCTAAGAATTATTCTCAGCAATCAAGACTTCAGAGCTAGCAAAAAAGACTGTTTAGCACAAAGGCCTTTACATAAGGCATAATTCTGTCTGGTGAGAGGTTTTTTCCACCTCATACAATGAAAGACTAAAATTCCTTGCTGCATACTCAGATGAACTAACCATCTAGAGTACTGTACAGCATGAAACTGTTTATGACTGGGCATAGAGTAAAACACCATCATTAATATAGGCAGTCCTCGACTTACGTTTTGAGTTGCAACGTTTATAAATTGACACCGTTTCAACTTTATAACATCAGTTTCAACTTACAATGCTTGATCCGATGCAACACCACGCCAGCAAACAAGTTTGCTGCATCCCTCATCTCCCTGGAGAACATCTGTCCAAACTTGTTTGGACACTTTCTTTAAGAAAGCAGACAAGACTCCAAAAAACCTGCAACCAAGACTCCTGAGAAGACTCCAGCAAAGAGCCCTTCAAAGAGTCCAGCAAAGTCACCTCAAAGAAATCCTTCCAAATCAATATGATTGCTATTTACGATATAAATACATTGATGTAGCTATATTACTCATTTATAATTGATTGAGTACAAAATTCTGGGGGATTTTTGGTGAAAATAAGGTATCCGGCCTTGACTCAAGAACCAATCCCCCATTTGTAACATTGTTTCTTATGACAAAATTGGTTCCGAGCTACAACATTTCGACTTAAGATGAGGTTTTCAGGAACCAATTGTGTCGTATGTCTGAGGACTGCCTGTACTTAGACATGACACTACAGCAGGGGTGGGCAAAATGTGGCCCGCAGGCCAGATGCAGCCCGCTGGACCCTTCTATTCAGCCCACAGGGTCCCTAAAAAATTTAAAAAATTAATATTTATCTGCCCCTGGCTGCCTGTCATGCAGCCCTCGATGGCTTGCCAAAACTCAGTAAGTAGCCCTCCACCTGAAATAACTGCCCACCCCTGCACTACAGTAAGCATCTTGAACTTTGGAAACAAAAGAATTTTCCTGGCCCTGTCTTTAAGGACATGACTCTTCAATAGTCTTAATGGGAAGTTCCCAGGGTTGTGGCAGGATACTAGTCAGACAAGCAAATACAGGCAAGACATTCATTTTATTTTATTTCATTTCTGTATAAAGTAGCATTTTACAATTACTGCAAATGACATCAGGTCAGGGCTTCTGGATTTTAATCCCAAATAAAATATATCACACACAAAACTCCTTTCCTCTCTCAGTTAGGTTGTGAGATTCCAGGGCAGTCACCAA